CCCGTCCCTCAGATGATCGCAGTCCGGTGAGAGTCAGATGATGACTTCCAAATGCTTATCTCCAGTGTCCACACTCGCATGTCTAATAGACATTTCCAAGGTAACATTTTCAAACTGAACTCATGATTGCCATCTCCCAAACCTGTATGTCTTCTGGCCTCCCCATGTTGGTAAATGGCAGTTCCCTTTCTCCAGTTCAGGGCAAAACCCTTGGTGTCCTCTTTAGCTCCTCTCTGCCCCATCCTGAAGCCTCACCCACACTTCTCAGCACTTTCTCTGCTTCCACCGTCCTCTTTCTGGATTACAGCACAGCTTCCTCACTGGACCCTCCGCTTTCACCGTTGCCTTTCCCCCTCCCCTATTTTCACCAGAGCCAACCAGAGTGGTCCTGTGAAGATGTAAATTGGTTATATCACTCTTGTTTTTGAAACCATCTTGTACTTTCCCAGCTCACTTGGAGTACAGTAAAAGCAAAGCCTAAGCTGTCACTGTCTGCTGTGATCTGTCTGCCTCCCCACCTACCTCTCTAACCTGCTTGACCACCGTCCCCTCCTGGCTGGCCATCCTGTCCTTGCCATCCCTGAGCCCATTCCGTTTTCTCCCTCCTTAGAGCCTGACTCTGCTGGCCAGTCTCCCCCCCATTAGGGGCTCAGCTCTTCACTCAGATGTCACCCTGTCAGGGGACCTGCAGTCTCTCTGACCCCTATACTTCCCTCCATGCTCCTCCTCAGCTTTCGTCTCCCTGTGACACTCACAGCTTCTGGCATCTCTTGTGTGGGATATCTTTCCCACTAGAGTTATGTTGCTCTGCCTGTGGTTCTGTTCTGTTCAGCACCAGGGCCTGCGGACCTCGGCCTCCCTAATCCCTGCTGCGCACTTGCATCCTGTACACAGATGCAGAGTCTGGGGGAGGGCATGCGGGTCCCTTTCTCACCCTCCTCATTCATTTCCTTGTCATCAAACTTTCTTTGTTCTCAAGGCTCAAGTCTGGCCCTTGCCTAAGAACATGACCTCCCTTTTCACCTCACTGAGTGGAGTCATATGAACACTGTGGAGAAATTTTGTCCCACATCTCCCCTCTCGCCCTCCTCCCATCCTTGCGCTCAGCCGAGATTCCTGCTGAGCAGCCTGACCCTCCATCCTGCAGGACCCCCTACTCTGATGTTAAACACCCACAAGCTTCTCTGTCTTCAAAACACATCTACCGGTCCTGTGCCCTAATTGTACCTATTTTGTGTCTCTTCTTCCTTTAGATCCATTGAGCAAGTGCTGTCACTATCTTCCTTCCACTACTCCCATATATGGCCTCTTAAACCCTTGGAAAGACTTTTGGTTTTGTCACCATCCTTTCATTAAGTGGTTACTTAAGGAACATCCGTGGCCTCCTGATTGTGAGATTACAGGGCCTCTTTCTCATTTCCCTCCTTCTGGAAGGCTCTGATCATAATTAACATTGTTAGTCACCTTCTGCAAAGTCCTTCACCAGCCCCCTCAATTCTGGTCCACCCCAGTCCTCAGGCTTGATGACTGCTCTCAAGGGAGTGTGCCGTCTGGGACCTGAAGGGCATCAGCAGGGGCGGCAGCCTCTCCAGGTCCTGGGTAACTTTCCTCCCAGGCCATCCCGGTTTCCTTGCATCTGCTGGCCCTGCGTGCGATGTCTGGTCTTTACAAGCACGCAGGATCTACCTGACCATTTTCTTCCTGCGGTTAGAATTTGCTAAAAGAACTTTGTCAGAAGACTAAGGGGGACCAATAATGAAAATAAAATATGAAAGGATGAAACAAGTTTTCAGGGCACAAATTCCGAGAACCCAATAAAACCGAAAGACTGGACTGTCTGGTAGAACCCGTCAAATGCACACTGAGGATGGTCCCTTCCCTCCAGCCTCTGCAGGGAGGGTCTCTGGTCTCCAGCTCTGCTTGGTCTTAGGCCCTCACCCATCTTGTCAGATTGTGTGCCCTTCAGTAAGCACCCACCACACATCAGCCACCTTTACAGGCACCAAGGGTGATGAGTCGTTTCCATATCCTCTTCATCTCTTGTGTTGCATTCTCCACGTCTGTTTCTAAGCTCTGTCTTTTGCACTGTGGCCCTCACCCCAGAGAGGACCCTTTTCCCAGCTGCTTCTAATCCCACGTCTCCAGCTTCCTGCTGGCCACTTCCACTCAGATCTCCGACCACTGCTTTTAATCCACACAGTCACCAAACCACAGCTCTCATTTCCTCTTCCAAGCTCAAATTACCACTCCCCCCCAATGTCCTTCTCTCTGAATCTCCCCATAACTAGCCCTCTCACCAGGCTCAGGCATGTCTTTCATTTGTATCTATCTCATCTCTGCTCTGTTCAGATGCCACACACTGCTTTATTTTTGTCTTCAGAAAGTGTCCTCCCTCTGTCCTTTCTCTTTTCCATTTGCCCCTCCTGTCATCCAGCAGGGCCTTCAACACTCACTCCAAGGTTAGAACATACTTCCCGAGTCCCTGCAGGCTATAGAAGGGACTCTTCTTTCTTGAACAGCACTTCAGCATCTCTCTCCCCTCTCTAAGTGGATTAGTGGCTCTCTAGTCCTTCAGTTCATGTGCACCACTGGGACTTACTGAATGCCCACTGTGTGCAAACATGGCCACAGCCTAGCTCCATGTGCACAAGCAGCCATTAAATTCACTGCTTCCTAACCCAATGCCCTGTTTCAGTCACGTGGTCACAGGTATTCCTGCCTCTGCATGGGAACTTTGCTCTGTTGTTGAAATGTACTCCCTTTGCCCTCCCTTCTACCCAAAGCCACACCTCCTAAGCCCAGCTCAAATTCCACTCCTCCCTGGCTACACCTTTTAATATGAATACCCTTCATCTCTGAAGTCCCTCTGCCCTTGTAGAGCTCCCCATTCTCCTGAGTTTTCGTGCCTCCACAGATAGATTTCAAGATAGAGACCATATTGAAGTTGAAGACACAGCATATGCTAATGCATAAAGGTAGAGTTTCAGGGCCCACAGGAAGTTTGGTGCTCAGAGTGCTGAGCCAGGTCCTCATGGGGGGTGCACACTGTCCACGGCTCTTGTCCTGTGCTCCAGAGGCAGATGTCCAGCAGGGCAGAGGGAGGGGCTAGGGCCAAGGGCAGAGTTAGGGGTCTTGTGAGAGTCTATGGTTGATGGCACCCCTCCAAGCCCAGCAGGATGGCTGTGGGGTCTGTGTAGGAGTCAGAATTGACAGCTTGGAGGAGAAGCAGGATGTAACCTAGAATAATTCCCTGACACCTGTCATCCTTCATGGGAGAGTGGTTTGTTTCACGTTCAACAATTAAGTTTCTCGATGAAAACGTGTTACTGTCTAAGAACATAAAGAGTGGAGCAGGCAGCAGTCACAATATGGGGCAAGGAGGCTGGTAGGATACATGAAGACTAAGGTTTCTCTACAGAGCTCAAATGACCAAAACGAAGAGCTGGAAGTTTACTGCAAACGAGGGTTAACATTTGCCTATGTTTTTAGATCACAGGGAGTAAAGTTTTGTTTGTTTATTTGCCTTTAAACCAATTCCTTAAAAATTAGGATATTTAAGCCTTTAAAGATTCAACATGATAGTTTTCTTTATTCTTGTATGTATACTCACAGCTTAGCCCACGTTCCTTACTGCACAGACTGGCCATGAGAAAAGCGATGCTGTCTTTAGTTCCAGTTTGGAGCATCTGGCCCGTTTGAACAGAGGTGACACAGAGGACACCTTGTAGGCTGGATCCCCTGTGTCCAAGGAGCACTGTCACCCTCACAAAGTGGGCCCAGGGGTCTTACTTCCCTCTATCCGAGAGGCAGTTGACTGTGAATGACCACAGTCCCCACCTTACAGATAGAGACATGGTCTCCTGCCCAAGGATGTACAGAGTGAACCATTTATGTAACATTTGCAAAGAGAAAGATTCAAAAGGAAAGGGAAAGATGGAGGAGGCAACAATTTAATACGACCGAAGTTAAGAAGGTGCAGTGGGCATTGTGACAATTTGGGAGAAGGTTGCCCTAACTTCACGTGAGCAGGACAGGCGAGATTAGGAATTGGCAGCTGCACAGGAAGCCCCAGAGCTCCTGTAGAGACAGAGGCTGGAAGAGCCCAGGGTGTAGTTAGGAGGCTGGGAGAGATCGTGTCCCTTAGGAAAGTCACTTCTCTTTCTTGCTCAGTTTCCTCATCTCTGAAATTAGTTAAGTAGCCTGTGTTTGTCTCATTTAATCCATGCTTGTGTAGGGTAACTATAGTACTCTATCGGTTCTGTAGACTATGGTTTAACCCTGTGTGGCACATTAGTGGGCAATATGTACAGATACATAGAGATATGTATACACACCAAAAACATGTATGTGTGCATGCACACACATGTATAAAATGTTCACACGCAGGTATATGCACACATGTACATGCACACATGCCCACAGAGATACATGTGCACACACATGCACACAGATTACAATATGCAGCTGCACGCACATGAAAGCATTGTGCTTGCATGTTCCTGTATACCTTGCACACTTGACATTCAACACATGTACACACATGCACTATAAGTGCCTACAGGTACAGTACATGCACTCACAGAGGCAGGTATGTGCACACATGTGCATGCACACAAGTGCACTCATATGCATATGCATGTACATTCACACATGCATGTGCATATGTATGTGCATCTAACCATTCACGTGTACACATGTTCACATGTGTTTGCACAGGCACATGCTTGTATATACAGGTGTAGACATATGCACATGTGTGTACACACATGTGTACACCGGGACATGTGAGTGCGTGTACATGTGCACACAAACATATTTGCATACATGAACACACAAGGCTGTGGAGATCTCTGCAGCACATCCCACATTAGGAAGTTTTAAGAGAGCCACCCAATGACACTATATTCCATCCCCCGTGAACAATGACACCTGTCCCTTTGGGCAGTTGGAGTACGGCTCACCTGTCCTACCTGCGTATTAAGAAGTATGTTCCCTTACAGGCTGGCAGGCTGGAGCAATGGGTGACTGGAGCCTTCTGGGGAGACTATTGGAGAATGCACAGGAGCACTCCACGGTCATTGGCAAGGTCTGGCTGACAGTCCTGTTCATCTTCCGGATCCTGGTGCTGGGAGCTGCTGCCGAGGAAGTATGGGGAGATGAGCAGTCAGACTTCACCTGCAACACCCAGCAGCCAGGCTGTGAGAACGTCTGCTATGACAAAGCCTTCCCTATCTCCCACACCCGCTTCTGGGTGCTGCAGATCATCTTCGTGTCCACTCCCACCCTCATCTACCTGGGGCACGTGCTGCACATCGTGCGCATGGAAGAGAAGAAGAAAGGGCGGGAGGAAGAGCAGCTGAAGGGAGGCAGCCAGCACCTCAGACTGGCTAGGCAGTGTGGGCCCAGCAACCATGGCCAGAAGGACAAACCCCTTCTGCAGGATGACCGGGGCAAGGTCCGAATTGCTGGGGCTCTGCTCCAGACTTATGTTTTCAACATCATTTTTAAGACACTATTTGAAGTGGGCTTCATCGCTGGACAGTACTTTCTGTATGGCTTTGAGCTGAAGCCACTCTACCACTGTGACCGGTGGCCCTGCCCCAACATCGTGGACTGCTTCATCTCCAGGCCCACGGAGAAGACCATCTTCATCATTTTCATGCTGGTTGTGGCCTGCCTGTCCCTCTTACTCAACGTGCTGGAGATATACCACCTGGGCTGGAAGAAGCTTAAACAGGGCATGACCAACCATTATTGCCCAGACACCACTGAATACAGGATGGGGGCGATAAAACCTGGGGGAGTGAGCCCACTGCCCTCCTACCCTGTTCCAACCACCAGTACTATGGGGTACCCTCTTTACTATACTCACTCTGCCTCTTCCATGGAACAAGCAGTGGCCGCAGATCATCCTGGCTTCACTCCACCAGCAACAGACTTCAATGTGGTAGCTCTTTCCCAGACGCAGGGGAAGGGCCGCCCTGACAAATTCTATGATAGTAACCATCACCTGCTAATGACAGAGCAGAATTGGGCCAACCAGGAGCCTGAGCAGCAGACTTCTGTGAGGAAGATCTCCCCACTTGTGCCCACATCTTCTTCCTTTTCCCCCCGAGGCAGCCCCCAGCCAACTCCTCAGGAGCCTGTCCCATTGGAGAATGGGGACCACAGCATCTTGAGAGAGAGCAGATTGGAAGTTACTCCTGATGAGGGGCAGCAGGCAGTGATCCCCACTGTGGAGATGCACATGCCACCTTTGCTACCCACAGACCCCAGACTGTCAAGCAAGGCCAGTAAGTCCAACAACAGTCAGGGAAGACCCAATGACTTGGTCATCTAGTGGTATTCTCCCCAGACAGCTTTATAATGACCTCTTTTCTAGCCACAAAACCAAAGTGCACTTCAACTGAGCAGGTAGAGAGCCTAGGGTGACAGAGAGCACTGGACTGGGGAGAGGGAGAAGATCACCAAAAAGGTTGGGTTTTGGTGTCAGTGCTTGCTGTCCTTAATGCTGAAGGTGGAGTGGGGAGGACCACAATGCTTTCTATAGGGGATGGGGGCAAAGTGGGGTGCAGGGCCTGATGTTCTTTAAAGATACTCACAGCAACCCGAGAGCCCTGAACCTGGCCAAGGTGTTTCTGTCTCTGTGGGGAANGTCACAATATGGGGCAAGGAGGCTGGTAGGATACATGAAGACTAAGGTTTCTCTACAGAGCTCAAATGACCAAAACGAAAAGCTGGAAGTTTACTGCAAACGAGGGTTAACATTTGCCTATGTTTTTAGATCACAGGGAGTAAAGTTTTGTTTGTTTATTTGCCTTTAAACCAATTCCTTAAAAATTAGGATATTTAAGCCTTTAAAGATTCAACATGATAGTTTTCTTTATTCTTGTATGTATACTCACAGCTTAGCCCACGTTCCTTACTGCACAGACTGGCCATGAGAAAAGCGATGCTGTCTTTAGTTCCAGTTTGGAGCATCTGGCCCGTTTGAACAGAGGTGACACAGAGGACACCTTGTAGGCTGGATCCCCTGTGTCCAAGGAGCACTGTCACCCTCACAAAGTGGGCCCAGGGGTCTTACTTCCCTCTATCCGAGAGGCAGTTGACTGTGAATGACCACAGTCCCCACCTTACAGATAGAGACATGGTCTCCTGCCCAAGGATGTACAGAGTGAACCATTTATGTAACATTTGCAAAGAGAAAGATTCAAAAGGAAAGGGAAAGATGGAGGAGGCAACAATTTAATACGACCGAAGTTAAGAAGGTGCAGTGGGCATTGTGACAATTTGGGAGAAGGTTGCCCTAACTTCACGTGAGCAGGACAGGCGAGATTAGGAATTGGCCAGCTGCACAGGAAACCCCAGAGCTCCTGTAGAGACAGAGGCTGGAAGAGCCCAGGGTGTAGTTAGGAGGCTGGGAGAGATCGTGTCCCTTAGGAAAGTCACTTCTCTTCCTTATTCAGTTTCCTCATCTCTAAAGTGAGTTAAGTAGCCTGTGTTTGTCTCATTTTTGCTATACCAGGTAGGGTAACATAGCTCAGTACTATATAAGAGCTGTAGACCTTGGTCTAACCCTGCATAGTTTAACTTTTGGTTAACCTGGGCAGTTGGACTACAGCTCACCTGTCCTACCTGCATATTAAGAAGCATGTTCCCTTACAGGCTGGCAGTCTGGAGCAATGGGTGACTGGAGCCTTCTGGGGAGACTATTGGATACTGCACAGGAGCACTCCACGGTCATTGGCAAGGTCTGGCTGACAGTCCTGTTCATCTTCCGAATCTTGTTGCTGGGAGCAGGGGTGGAGTCAGTATGGGGAGACGAGCAGTCAGGCTTCACCTGCAACACCCAGCAGCCCGGCTGCATGAACGTCTGCTATGACAAAGCCTTCCCTATCTCCCACACCCGCTTCTGGGTGCTGCAGATCATCTTCGTGTCCACTCCCACCCTCATCTACCTGGGGCACGTGCTGCACATCGTGCGCATGGAAGAGAAGAAGAAAGGGCGGGAGGAAGAGCAGCTGAAGGGAGAGAGCGACCGTGGCCAGAAGGACAAGCCGACTAATGACGTTCTCCCCAGACAGCTTTATAATGACCTCTTTTCTAGCAACAAAACCAAAGTGCACTTCAACTGAGCAGTAGAGAGCCTAGAGTGACAGAGAGCATTGGACTGGGGGGAGGGAGAAGATCACCAGAGAGGTCAGATTTCTGTGTCAGTGCTTGCTGTCCTTAATGCTGGAGGTGGAGTGGGGAGGATCACAATGCTTTCTATAGGGGATGGGAGCAAAGTGGGGTGCAAGGGCTGATTCTCTTTAAAGATATTCACAGCAACCCGAGAGCCCTGAACCTGGCCAAGGTGTTTCTGTCTCTGTGGGGGACTGTTCTGCGGTGATAAAGAGGCAGGTGTCTGCAGTCACTTCAATTTGGGGCCATTAGGTTTTCTGTCCTGAGCTCTCCCAAGCCTCTGGGCAGCCCAGAAGGCCATAGCTGCACTTAGCCCTATGTCTGTTTGATACTTTTAACTCAGGGTTGAAGTTCATTTGGGATATTTGCCAAACTGCACCAAAAGGAGACTTAGAGCAAGCCTATGTAGTGTCGTTTGAGATTCTGAAATTGCATGTGAAGCCCAGGATATCCAAGTGCAGGCTTCATGACAAGTGACAATGAGCAGCTCCCCCAGAGGCAGAGATTCATGGGTGAGGGCACAGAGGTGGCTGGGAAGAAAGCAGGTGGAAATGCAGCCACACTTGAGATCACTTTTAACAGCTGAGGAAACAGAAACAATAATGTGGCAGGGCTCCTTTGTGTTTGTTTTTAAGTGATATTTTCTGCTTTAAATTTTACAGATAGACCTATTTCCCCCACTTTCTCTCTTTTGGAAAAAATAAATGTATTACTATTACATGGATACTGACCAACATAGTGATTATTTGTCCCATTTCCCACTTATAAAGGTTTAAAATTTCTTTTAAAAGAAATGCTTTGACTTCCTGAGTCAGCTCACTACTATGAGAATGTACCAAATGAAATAAAAGCAGGGAAAAACTTACGTGCCTTTCAAATACTTGAAGTTTTTGAGTGGGAAGTTAAAATTTAACTGCTGTTGCCAGAAAAATTATTTATACAGATGAATGAATGAACTACACCCTTTTAACAGTGCGAATGAACCTCTTCACATTTCCTAACTATTCTTTGTGGGCAGCCCGTTTGCTTTCTACAGTGCAAATGAAAGTGTCTGGGTTCACTCCCTGTGTAAGTGTGATTTCGTGTGCTTGTCTGATTTGTCATCCACGAGGATGGTTGCTCGGTGACAGGGAAGGCTACTTGAGTGGGTGGGTGTGGCTAAAAGATGACAGAATTTTCTGTCCTGCACACACGCTGTTCTGTCTCAGTCAGTGTCTGAACCGATGAGCAGTGGTGGTGCTGAGCCTGGTCCTAGTCACACTTTTCACCTCCAACAGCGACTGATTGCAGTTAGTACTTATTCTGCAAAACGCCATACACTGTCAATTGATCTACTTGTTTTTATGGATTCCCTTAATTTCCTGATGATTCTTTTTCACCTTCTAACAGTCTGTGAAGAGACTGTGATTTCTGTCCTCAGATTAATGCGAGCACCTAGTTCATTAATGCATTCAGCTGGCTGTGGTGTGGGCTGGACCATCTCCCCAGCTTGAACTATGCACACATGTCCTGCAGCCTTTCTCAAATGATGCATCTCAGTATGACTGGGGAAAGTGTGCTGTCTTTGGGGTATGAGTTATGCCCTTCAACAGGGTATCATCACCGCTTTCATACCAAAAGTGTACACAGTATCATCCTCAGCAATAATATTCATTTCCATTATAATGAATTTTAAATATATATATTTGACAAAATTGATTTATAATCGAGCATTTCTTTTTTAATGAATTCTCAAGTCTGAGAAGTGATTTTAACATTTCCCAAAGAATTAAGAAAGGAATTTTTTAACTACAAAAGCACGATCACTAGTGGCTAGTTGGGATAAGACCCAAAACTGCTGACAAGAGTACTAACAACTTGGAACTCATCCATTTGGCAAATCCAGCTAAAGCTGATAAAAGTTTTTTCCTATTCATTTGCAGAGAAGATCTCATGCAATTTAAGTCTATTTTTTCCCACCGTCTTTTTTTTTTCATTATAAAGGCAATGTTTATTAAAATACATTTCATTTTCAAAATTGAGCTCTCAGGCATTAAAGTGGGATCACTGGGTCAAATGGCAATTCCATTTTTAACTTTTTGAGGAAACTCCATATTGTTTTTCCATAGTGGATGCACTAGTCTGCATTCCCAACAGCAGTGTATGAGGGTTCTCCCTTCTCCACATCCTCAACAGCATATGTCATTTGTTGATTTGTTGATAGCAACTATTCTGACAGGTGTGAAGTGATACCTCATTGTAGATTTATTTGCATCTCTCTGATGATTAGTGATGTTAGCATTTGTTCATATGTCTCTTGGCCATGTGTATGTCCTCTTTGGAGAAGTGTCTATTCAGGTCCTTTGCCCATTTTTCAATTGAATTTTTTGTCTTCCTCTTGTTGAGTTGTACGAGTTCTTTGTACACTTTGGAAATTACCCCTTATCAGATGCATGCTTGGCAAATATGTTCTCCCATACCTTGAGGTTACTTTGTATTTTGAGGCTTTCTTTTGCTGTGCAGAAGCTTTTTAGTTTGATATAGTAACATATGTTTATTTTTCTTTTGTTTCTCTTGCCCTAGGAGATGTATTGGTGAAAATTCCACTATTTGAGATGTCTGTGACTTTACTGCCTGTGTTTTCTTCCAGGATTTTTATGGTTTCATGAGTTACATTTAAGTCTTATCCATTTTGCATTTATTCTTGTGTATGGTGTAAGCTGGTGGTCTAGTTTCATTTTTTTTTTTTTTTTTT